ATGAAATGCACCTGTGGCTTTTCAGTGCTAATGGGAACAAAGGCTTCTTCTTTCCTTTGGGTCAACAAACGTAACTCTAAGGACATTTGGGGAACAGTTCTGCCAAGAAGATGTCTTTTGGCCTGCTCGCTTTTCAGAACAGAATCAGATTTCAGGGTTTTCTATTTGAACATTTTTTTTTCTAGCCTCCTCACTACTAAGTAAATATTTGGCTCCTAATCTAGGATACAGGGTACAACAGACTATTTTACAGGTTATTTGAAGCCAAACTTATTCCATACATTTTGCACAGGAGTAAACTCTTTGTAGTAGGTACTATCCCCAGCTCAGAATCTCTTCAGAACAGTTTCCTCAGACATATCCTTAGTGCTCTGAGTTACACCCATGGCCCCAGTCTTGCAGGTGAGCATAGCAGGATGCCTGGATATTGTGTGATCAGAGCCATGGTCTTATGTTTTTCACTCATGGATGCCCGGTTTCCTTTAGAGACAAAGCGTGGGAATAATCTTTTTTACACTTTAGGGAAATACTACAGCTACTACTAGCAGATATAAGACCTGCTAGTATCATTTATTTAAGGAAGAAGCTAATAGAGTTGAGGCTCCACAAATGGGGAATTTACTTGAAGATCACAAGCAGGGAAAGTGCTGGGAATGCAAGTCCGGGGGGGAGGGGGAGGGGAACAAGAGCGGGTAGCTACAGGGGGAAATGAGTGACACTGGAAATAATTAGTTGGAATCAGGAGATACTGAGGAGAATAAAAGACCAAAAGGTCCTAGAATGGGAATGATCTCTTATAGCAGGCATTGAATGTGTTCTGTGAGGAGTTTTTGACCTGTTTCCTATGTAAAATCTGAAGTCCCATATAGCTTCTGAAAACAAATTCACATAAACCATAACATACCCTTAAACTTAGCCAGAAAACCATAGTTGGATGTTTGTTAACCTTATGACTCAGATACTCATAAGGCAAAGCAAATGATTGGTGTAAGGAGTCCAAGAAAAAGAGATATAGGAGACCTGAAAGTAAGGTTTGAATGCTGCCCAAGTCTGCTAATATCCTTGTTGTTACTCTTTACACTGTTCTTATGGAAGCCTGCACCCATTTAGTTGCCCTTTGTATAGTTTATACAATGCTATTCCCTCTCCCCACACCAGTACACATTTATGCCTAGTTAAGTCTGAGAGAGATCAGGTATATGTCAAGGGGATACATTACATTGGTTTGGTTCAGGAACGAAGCACCAGGGAACACCAGCGACTGCTGAGCTGAAACAGCATCCTTGAGCCACACACTGCTCAGCAGTGATATCTGGTTGTCCACAGTTCTCTCTCATTTTTGGATCTACTTGACACTGGCAGGATGCTGATGAGAATACAAAAATAGCGAAGTTACTGCATGTCTCCTTTCATTCCTCCTGGCATTTTTAGCAGTCCGATAAGTATAGGTGTGAAGAGGTAAAACCAACGCAGAACTTTTAAGTTATTGGTAAGTAGTAGAATTAGATACAAATCATAATAGCTGTACTTTAAACATTTGAATCAGCAGATGTACCAGTAACAGCTCAACTAAACGCTTCCAAAACATACTATACTTAGTTATTATCTATCCATTCTTGTGTCTCATTAAATATCTTTGTCCGATGATGCAGAATGAACACCTTTTAGCTTGCATTTACATAACAGTGATGTAAATTTGGTTTACAGTGTGCTTTTTAGGTGCAATTAGCTGTGATAGGATAGTATGAGTAAAGATCTTTCTAATTCTAGTTCTACAATAGATAGTAGAGCATGTCTACATACGCATTACTGTGCCTTTTCTAATGCACATTAAATTTCATACCTCACAAGTACTAAATTTAATGCTCCTTTTCTAATGCTTATTAAATTTAGTGTCTCACATTGGAAGTACTAAATTAATGTGCATTAGGCTGTGCTACTGCGCAATAGTACATTTGCATGCTTTTTTAGTGATGCTTAATGAGCAGTAGACTATTTTACTGTACATTAGCATAATGTCACTTTTTTATGTGATGATTTAATGCACAGTAAAATAGTCTACTGTGCATTAAAGCACATGTGTGGATGCACCCTCAGGGTATCTGCTTCCCCATTACTACGTATTTTCTGATTGCTGGTTATTTTACAATTAAAATTATGCTTGCAAATAGACATTGCCTTTCTCCTGGAAGAAAGCATTTTGTCTTGTGACCCTGCGGACTTGTAGTCCACTGTCCTGCTTCAAGCCCCTCTGAAGTGAGTGGGATACAATGTGCTATTGGGATGTTGTGGTATATGTCTGTAAATTTATTTCGTGTATTCCAGGGTCAAGCTGGCCTGGATGCGTTCTCATGCTTGTCATCTATTGGTAGAGAAGCAGCAATGCACCTCTGAAGGGTGGTGAGTGTAGTCCTTCCATGCCCATTTTGATCCATGTCAAACCCCAGGATGATCAGACCTGCATCAGTTGCAATGTCTATTTATGGCCTACAAGAGTTAATCTTACTCCCACCAAAGTCAGTAGGACTGTTATAACTGAGTTCA